AATCTCAGCTAAAGCATCCTGCATCCCACCTCTTGTGGGAGTCTGTTCCACTGTCGAACAGCTCTTACTATCAGAAAGGTTTTCTGTATGTTTAGTCGGAATCTCCTTTCTTGTAACCTGAAGCCACTGGTTCAAGTCCTACCCTCAAGAGCAAGAGAAAACAAGCATGTTCCCTCTTCCATGTGACAGCCCATAAGATATTTGAAGATGGCTATCAAATTTCCTCTGTCTCCTCTTTTCCATGCTAAACATATCCAGCTCCTTCAAGCGCTACTCGTACGCTCCTCATATGTTTATCCTTTCCATCTGGAATGAAGGGCCACTGTACAGCAGTAGACCATCTGCTTTGAGTACAGAAGGTCCCAGATCCAATCCTTGGTACCTTCAGATAGGGATGGGACAGACGCCCTTCCTGAAACCTTCCAGATCAGGCACACCCAAACTCAGCCCTCCTGATGTTTTGGGACTACAATTCCCATCATACGATATAAGATATCTTTATTGTCATTGTTCCATATAGAACAATGAAATTGAAAATCTACATAAAACATTCAAAAACCCTAAAAACTCTGAAACACCATTTTAAAATACAATATACTATAGAGACTCCTTATGCTGCATTTAGAACCAGAATTGCATTTGCGTAGAAACTGTTTCTCAGGCGGCTAGTCCTGATCTTTATAACCCTGTACCTTCTTCCAGAAGGCAGAAGCTGAAAGAGGTCATTTCCGGGGTACGTACCATCCTGCGCTATCTCTGCAGCTTTCTTATGGCACCTGACAGCATGGATTTGATCTAAGGTGGGAAGAGTGCACCCAATTATTCTCTCCACAGTCTTTACAACCCTGGACAGCATCGTTTTTTCCCTGGCCGTGCAGCTCCCAAACCACACACACAGACCAGAAGTTAATACACTCTCCACAGTACAATGGTAAAATGCCATCAACAGGTCCTTTGAGAGATTGTTTTTCCGGAGGATTCTCAGAAAATATAACCTCTGCTGTGATCTCTTCATCAGGTCTTTGCTGTTTTCTCCCCAGGTTAGGTCATCCCTGACCACTGGTCCTGTTAGCTAGGGATGATGGGAGTTGTAGTCCCAAAACAGCTGAAGGGCCAAGTTTGGCCATGCCTGTTCCAGACAATACTGAGCTAGATGGGTCAGTGGTCTAACTCAGCAAAAGACAGCCTCCTATGTTCCTGGGGCAGCTTGTTCTCTTCGAGCTCTGGCCTTTGCACCCCTATAGAGTCCCATGGAGAAAGGCTCCTCCCAAGCCTCTAGCCAACTCCTGCATCCTTCAAGAGTACCAGTCCATGATTCAAAAATAAACCTACTACATTTTGGAGAGTGCAGAACCGCTCTACTAGCTTTTCCTATTTCCACTTCAGCCACGAACAATTGCCAACAAACCCAAAAGACAAGGGATTTGCAGATGTAGTGAACATTAAAAGTAAGAAACCAAAGTGCCGCCAGCTGTGCTCACAAACAAACGGATTAATATGAAAAAGGGGTGGCCTGGCAAATAATTTTGCCCTTCCTGCCACGGGAGAGGTTCAAAAGAGCCCCCGTGCAGAGGTTCATTCGGCAATGGAGCAATGAAGCACAGGTCCTCTAAGTTGCAAAGCATTTCCACAATTTCTCGCCAAAATAAATTGGATTCTTTCCACTGTTTGAGATGGCAGCGAAGCAAGGACTGTATAATTAGGTCAGAGCTGATTACCTAGAACAAGGGCAATTTTCTTTACATCCAAGTAAAGCTTCATGAAAAGCAGCAAAGAAAGTGCATTTGGGAGTAGCTGAGAGACTGTCTAAAATCTTTCTTGATGAAAGCGATTTAACTACATTTTAATATAGATGGTATTTTCTATTAATGTCAGGGCAGAAACTTATTGCTCCACATATCTCATCACAAGGGCTATCTCTGCATCTGTCTGAGTCAACTTCAGTGACCACTTCAATATTCACTTTACAATTAATGCTGCTTTTTTATGGCTCGCTAGAAAGTAAACCAATTTCAGCCCAGCTCCTCAGTATTGAATTTATTATAAAAAGTTATGTACTTAAAACTCCTATAATGAAACCAGAGGCATCATGAGATATTAACCTAGAGTTAATGCTGAGAAAGCCGGTTTGAATAATTCAATTCATGTCACCTTAAGTATCTTTTCAAATGGAATTAACTTTATCTCACACACAAAAAAGGAAGCGCCACGTTCCAGCTACTGATTATTGACTCCACGAGGGCTCCGTCTTAAATCATCACGGCACCATTTTCCCCAGTAAGTTTGTGGGGCTCTTGCCGAGACAGATGCTCAGAATGGAACGCCAGGCTGTCAGCCGAGGGCCGCTGGGACTCCACCCTCCGAGAAAAGGTTCTTCCGCATCCCAGAGACGACCCAGCGGAGCTGAACCAAGAGCTCGCTGGATTCACAGTTTGGACGGGATGCAGGGTTCCTGCAAAGTTTTTTCTCAATGTCAGTGCCTCTAACAATATCAGGCACTGTTTTCGTCATCGCTCAGATGGCTTTAAAAGAAGAATTTGACATTCATGGATCCATCAAGGATGGCAACATGGTACTGAGCTACTAGATGAATCTGCGCCATGAAGACCCAGCTGGCCACAAGCCTTGTGTCCCTGGCAGACCAGAGTGGTATGTAGTCACAGAAAAGAAAGTTTTAGGGGAAATAGCAGCACCAAGAACAGGATGAGAAAGCAGACAATTCTGGTCAAGTTACAAAGAAGAATCATATCCAGAAGCTGCAGAAATATATCACTGTAGATAATACTGAGCTAAAGGAATAAGGCCGCTTCCTATGTTCATATGCCACATAAACCTAGTGCGCTCTGTGTTCGTTTATTCTCTCTTAGAACTGAGATTATCCACTGCATTTGGAAGTTGGGAGAAAGCGGAAGGAAGGAAGGAATTGGGCAGTGTCGCAAATCTAGGAAGAGGGAGTGAACAAGGACTGATAGCAGCCTCTACCTTTTCTAAGTCTGCCACTCGCCAAAGTATTGCAGAAGGTCGCAGCTGTATTCGTCAGTGTTAAAAGGCCTCCTGTCCACTCATTCATGGATCCAATGAAATCAGGTCATAAAGCTGGTTGTAAAGCAATACCAGTGAGACAAACACCCCCAAGGTACCACAGCACTTGCAGTCTTCGGGCTGCTGCAAAGACCATGGGTTGATTCACACATGCATGCCCCTGAGGTCCTAAGATTACTGTTCTTCTGAAACAACAGAGAAAACTCTTGCACGAGACTCTGAAGCGCCACAGAGCCTTTTGAAATTGAAATTCTGACTTGGGTACAGTCAGTGCTCCAAAAGCTTTAGCAACATGACTTGTTTTATTCAGGGAAACAACTACTGCGAGAGTAAGACCATACACTTTTGACTAAACTCACCTTATGCCATTCTTCTCCCAAAGTGGGGGGGGGGGGAGAACATTTAAAAGTATATTTTTATATGATGTTCACATCACAGTAAATCTCCTCTGTATGCCTCCATAAAGCTGTTGGAGAACAAAGACTAAGACCCTTGTCTGAAGTGACACCCAAATTGCAGAACTTCCTTTCTGGATGTAGGCACCTCACATGTGTTCTTTTACTATCTTTTAGGCACCATGCAAAGTCTGTCCCATGTTTAATGGCAGGTGGTTACTGTAACTGGCCCCTGGCTTGTTCCACCTCCACACTAGTCTTGAGAATGGTGCTCCCCAAACTCCAAGAGCTGTTGGGGGCTCCTGCTGGCTCCAGACTACAGCTCACATAGAGGACATACTAGGCTTTCCCGCGGCAGCTGCTTTATCTTAAAAAGCGGGTAGGGCAGCAAGCCTCCAACAGAAAGAGAGCTGGGATGAAGGGATGTTGGTTCCTGTAGAAAAGGTCCTTCCCATTCACCGCAGCACTGCAGTGGTACAAAGGAGGACAACAAAGGAGAGCCCTGAAGCCCAGCTGCCTTTTGAGGAGAGGAAAAGACAACCAAGAGAGCATCAGAAGGGCAAACAGTCCAGCCAGGTCTTTCAAGGAGGGTGTGACAATCAAACTGATGGAGACTATCTGTCAGGAGGCTTAGAGGGAATATCTGGGTATGTTCATTCCTGGGAGAATGGGATTCCTCCCTCCTTCATTGCTGTGCTCTTAAGTTTGTAACTGGACTTAAACTGCTCAAATCCAGAGCTTATAACCAGCTCCAGTGCTTTTTGCTGGTTCAGTACCCTGCCCCCTGCAGGGGCTGCCATCTGCCTTCAGGAGCTAGGGCTGCAAATGTGCCCCACTGGCCCAAAAAGGCTGGCGGCCCTTGGACTTGGCAGAAGTTCTACACCACGGTGGGTGGGGAGCAGTCCATAGGTCCTAGTTCAATAGGAAAAGCCAGATTTTCTTTCTTTCTTTCTTTCTTTCTTTCTTTCTTTCTTTCTTTCTTTCTTTCTCTTTCTGCCTGACGTTCACCAGCACCTCCTCTGTTCTATGTGGCATTTCTGGAGGAGCTGGGATATGTTACCCTGGTCAGTGGCCTTTATGGAAGGTGGTCCCTCCCTGTCCTCACCACACCCTTCAATAGTTGGGCTGCTGTTTTATAGTTGCTGGATTATGGCTCTTTCATCTTCTGTTTTAATCTACTGGTGAGTTTTTTAAATGTTTTTTTTCCCATTGTTTTATATGATATGCTCTCTTATTGGGCTTGGTTCCAGGAAGAAGGCAGGGAGGAAAAACGAAACGTACTTTGTGTGTTGGATAGCAAAGCGCACATCGAGCTATGATCAATGATTTCACTGTGATGCTGATCCAGAGATGCCTTTCAACGGGGGTTTCTCACCTCTAGGCCCCACGAGAAGGGAAGGGAAGGGTGCCTGGAGGATTCGCCATCTTTAGGGAAGCACAGCAGGTTTAAATGCTCCAACGTTTGCTGTTGGAGCCCCATGGCTGCAGGTGCCATTTCAATGGGATGACGAATAGCAACCATCCAAAAGGAAACAATGCTGTTGGAAGAGATGAGGCACTTACCTGCTGCTCCTTCTGTTTGGCAGCCTCAAGCTCCGAAAGAGAGTAGGTGAGCTTTTCTTGCTGCTCCGAGAGATACTTCTGATAAAGGCTCAAAAGTTCCTGGCACTCTCTGTATTGCTGCTGCAGAGGTGAGATAGCAAGTTAAGGACAAAAACATTTCTCATGGATGAGGGAGTGGGAAAGGGGGGAGGGAGAAATGAAGTCAAACACATTATTCTGTGCAAATCTGATTTAGCTGTCCAGGTAAGAAATCAGAGCAAAATACATGAGCCATACAGCAAGAAGATGGACTCTTTCAGAATGTCTAGAGAGAATAAGTTATAACTACATAAACAAAATATTCATCTCCTTTCATCTAGATTCCTGACTAAATGCAAGAACCCGGCTACATGGGCCAAATATTACTGAGTTTTGCCTTGCAATTTGGGCCATGTAGAGATTGCCTTAATTTATACAAATCCTCCCTCTACAGGCCTTTGCACAACATGTTCATTCTCCCACAAGCCCCTAGTTTCTGGTGCCCAATCGTTCCATGCCTCCAACACACAACGTTGGGTCTTTGCCTGGTCGAATAATGAACAATCTTTTAAGCATTCCCTTTAAACAAAAACAAGATGATGTAATCATCAGCATCCTGATTACAGAAACAAAACTAGACAATTGTCCTTGTGAAGCAATTAAATTAACTTTCAATGAAATTATCGGAACCTTTAACAATATGTTTCTACAAATGTGAATGGTGAATGGGCAGTTCTCCCCACTGGCTTTTATCCCAGAAACCAGGATCCAATGTTACCTTTTTAAAAAACGATGAAATTAAAAACAGGAAGTAAAGTAATAGCAATTAACAACAGAGTAGACAGCAAGCCCGTTTTTAAGGACAGTTGTGCTAGCAAAGCAGCAAGCCAATTCTTCAATCAACATAAACACCTTGTTTTGTGTAAAAAACAAGATGAGAGTCATGGGCAATCCTAGGCTATTTGTGCTCAGAGGTGCCTGCTGTTATAGTAGGGGACCAGCAGGAGATGTTTTGCTACGCTGTTAGGTTTGCACCAATTCCTGCAGGACCAGGGGGTTTGGGGGAGTAGTTCTCGCTCCTTGTGAACAAACGTCACCATAACGAAACGCTAAAAGGCAGGTTGGCACCTACACAGTGGCACTCGATGTTTCATGGGATACTGACCAGGCAATTGGCCAGGGTGCCAATCCTCCCAGAATAACTCTTTTTGGGCCTGCCACATGTGCAAAGCAAACAATTCCATCAGGGAAATGTGCTGAAATTCCGACTACTGACAGCACTCCCTCAACTATACATACTCCCATCCAATGTATAAGATCATATTATATTCACGCTTTGTAAACTACACTGGCTCCCGGTTTCTTTCCGGGCCTAATTCAAGGTGCTGGTTCTGACCGCTAAAGCCCTCCACGGCTCAAGACCAGGATAGGTGAAGGATCACTTGCCATCAGAAGCTCTTTTACAGGTGTCTCTGACATTGGTCCAGCAGGTTAATACTTAGCAGAACCTTTTCGGTGGTGGCACCTTGACTTTGGAATGTTCCCCCCCAAACACACCAGGCGCGTAATTTAATGTTATTCCAATACCAGGCAAAGGCCTTTTTAGTCTCCCAGGCTTCTAATCCATGCTGATTTGTTCTATCCTGACTCAGGTCTTACATTCATACAATGCTTCTACAAATCTGCTGTTTTTATTCTAAGGCATGCTACCCCCTCCTTAATTTTATTGTAACTTATCATGAAAATGTGATTGAACAGTGGGGGTATAAATGGCAACAAACTGTTCAGACATTTCTGCCGCCATCTTGGCTGCTCTCTGGTTCGCAGAAAGTGGATGCAAAGTGCAGGATGGGTGGGACATCATAATTCAACAAAAGAAAGCAAGGGAGACCGGAGACGGAGACAGAGACGGTGGTGATAAAAACAGGCAGAATGAGCTCAGAGATGCAAACGAGGTAAGTGTGGATGATTTATTCAACAGCGGCCGGCATGGTCATCAATTTGCCTGACTACAATCCCAAACGCAAAGCCTTTCGCAAACTCCCCATGGCTCATATGCAGGCGCAGCCTGGCAGGCCTTTCAGAGACCGACGACAAGTTTTGGACAGTGATCTAGAGACGCAGCAAACTGTGGCATTTGCAAGGATATTAGCAAAAGCGCCCTGCCTTGCTTGCAGCATTGAAATTCCAGGAGGAGATGAATCGGCTCTTCACCTGTCACTGTGCGATTCCGTCCCTTGCTCATTTAACATGGTAAACCATTTCCTTAGCGTCCCCCCCCCACTTTCCCCTCCCCACCTCTCTGCTTTTAATTATGCATACAGACAGGGCGAGGGCTCGCTGTCCAGTCCTCCAAATAAAGGCTTTAACAAGATGCCACTGGTAAGGGAGCAAACACACACACACACACACACACACACACACCCTTTCTAGCCCGCAAACAGCACGGACTTGCTTTAACTTTTTCCTACGATCCAAGTAGAGTGTGTGTTGAAAATGGTGGCCGAGGTTACCCATCATATAAACTATTTGTTATTTTAAATAGGACACACACACACTGTTCAGTTTCCAAAGGAACTCAAGGTTACTCACAACACCCCCATCACACACCCCAAAACTCACATTATAATACATAACAATCCCCAATAAAATCACTGATGTTAACGTCAAAGCTAAGGCCCCATAAACGAATACTGAAACAGTCATGAAAGCCAGGGCTTTTTTTCAGCTGGAACTCGCTGGAACTGAGTTCTGGCACCTCTTAGGTGGGCGCCATTGCCATTCTAAGAGAAAGAGGGAGGTGTTCGTGGTGAATCCTGGCCCCTCTTTTTCTAGAAAAATAGCACTGATGGAAGCCAAGCATCAACAAAAGGAACTACATTGGTTTGGAGCTTATTATGCTTTGTTGTCAACCCTAAAATGGCTAAGAGTTGGCTCAACCAAGTTTTCAGGAGGCAAGCGAATAAATCAGAGATCAAGAAGTAACTTGTTGTCTGAGATGGTCACACAAATGCCATTCTTAAGGGCTACAGTGGTTGTAATCAACTGCCCCTCTTCTTGTTCTGCTCACATCCATTGCACCGGCACCTATTCTGGGTTCCTGCCCCTCCTTATCACAAGATATACGACAAGACCAGCCTGGGCTGTCCAATACCCAGAGAAGCTTGTCAAAACAGCAGGCACGTGGTTCCCTTATTCTGCAGCTGCCTGGGTTGGCAACCTCTAGTTTGTGTCTATACACCGAAGAAAACAGTGCTTTCATACATACAGAAATCCAGCAACGCGGGTAACTACAGAAGAAGGGAGCCGCTCAACTGCAGTTGGAGGGCTTCTTTCTGGATACTCAAAATTGGCAGAGAAGCTTGCTAGGAGGTGGCAAAAACCTATGGCTACCTAGATTTGGGGTGTCGCCCTCATCCCCTTCCCAAGTGCACACTTGCTTCCCTTGTGTGGTCTGGCAATGCAAGAAACGGATGAGGAAATCCAATACTTCTTGTAGTCTAGGGAGATGGGGAGAGAGACACAGATATGGCCAATAGGACCCTCCCCTTCTTGCCCTCCATAAAAATTAGGTTCCTTTAAAAAAAAAAAAGAACTTCTACTGGTGCCAATGGCTGGGGGGGGGCTGTTTAAACTCATGTTGGGAGAGTTAACTTTTCCCTTCTCCTGCCCTGCAACATTCATCAACACCACCACCATAACAACACGGGTTGGAAAAAGACCTGTCGGCTTCAGCAAGTCTGTTTTCAAGCCCAGCCCTGCTGTGCAGGGAGCAATCTTTGTGTAGATCTCTTGCTGGGGGGAAACAGGCCAGCATAATCTACAAACTGCCCCGATGCTTTCATCCAAGCCTAAGTGTTGTGGGACGCGGGTGGCGCTGCGGGTTAAACCACAGAACCTAGGACTTGCCAATCAGAAGATGGGCAGTTCGAATCCCCGCAACGGGGTGAGCTCCCGTTGCTCAGTCCCTGCTCCTGCCAACCTAGCAGTTCGAAAGCACGAGGTACAAGTAGATAAATAGGTACCACTCCGGCGGGAAGGTAAACGGTGTTTCCGTGCGCTGCTCTGGTTCGCCAGAAGCGGCTTAGTCATGCTGGCCACATGACCTGGAAGCTGTACACCGGCTCCCGCGGTCAATAAAGCAAGATGAGCGCCGCAGCCCCACAGTCGGCCACAACTGGACCTAATGGTCAGGGGTCCCTTTACCTTTAAGTGTTGTGGGGTGGTGGAAGAGGTGAGCACAGGAGTGTGTTGATGGGTGGGTGGCCTCATCTATTTTATGCATTGCTCCCACCAACACTGCTGGACCCCAGGCTCAAAATGTGGCCCCCAGAATGTGGCTGAAAGAAACTTCCCACCTCTGTTGTGGACGTTTCCTCTTCCTGGCTTATTTCCTCCAAAAAATGTGGCAACAAAGTCCCAAAAGGGTTTTCCATTTGATCCAAGTGGGCAGAACTGGGAACCTCCTTGAAATCAGTCCGAAAAAGTGAGCCCTTCCAAACGCCTTTGCTTGGCTTGAAACAAAAGGATGGCACAAGCAAGGTTTTAAAAAAGCTAATTGCATTTCTGAGCCAACAGACGTGGAGCTCAGGCAGTTTTATAGTTCAGTGTGTTTTGTCGCTGCACACACACACACACACACACACACACACACACACACAAAGTCTGAAATGATTTGTGGTGGTCTCCCGAGTCTTTGCCAGTGATGATGTATATAAAAGGAATTTTTATGCCAGCTGTAACCATCGGTAGTAATGTTTATAGTAGGTGAACATATTAGCCTGGACGCAGGGCATGAATTTTACTCTTGAAAAAGCCTGTTCGTTTATACAGCCCAAGAGTTAAATGTCTGCATTTGAAGACAAATGGCAGGAAAATTCATTTAAATCTGAGTTGCGTGGCAAAATATAAGAAGCAGCCAATCTCATCATTATCAAACTCTTGCTGTTCGTTCTACCTGCTCAGCTTTTGAGCACCTCCCACATGCACAAGGAACAATTGTGTTCCTTGAGTTCATTGTTACTTAGTTAGGGCGTCCTTCCCACTTAGACAAGAAAAACCAACAGGACTGACTGCTGCTTTGCTTTTTGCACCTCCATATCACACCAGAGAAATTACAAAAGCATTCTATAAAGCAGAGAAGGCCTTCTGCCGGAATTATTTCATTAGACCTTGCGCTTCCAACATTTTCCCTGATTTTTTTTAATAGTATTTTTAAAGAAATGCAACAGATTTTACTCTGTACGGTATTGCTCTCCTTTGCTTCCCCTAGAAAACTTACTGTATATTTTCCAGGGGGAAAGCAGCATTTCCATTACGTCCCACCAAAATCACCGCAAATAAAGCAACCTGACAAAAGCAGAAGTGAAACGCAGGAAGTTAACTTGTGAGATCTTCCTAGCCATAGATTGAGTAGTTGTGATATCACAGAAGGCTTAGAAACATTCCAACAGTTATAAGGAGTTTTAACTTGAGTGA